AAGGCAACATGCCTCACTGCTGTACAGATTTCAACCTGGCTCATTTCGAATTCAAAGACTCAAACTCAACAACAGGGAATGAGGACAGAGCTGGACCGTCAGGGTCGTAGGATGCTACTAACTTCACTCATGACATCTGAAGCCATTGCTGATGGACCCGACCGCTCTCCACCTTGATTAGGTTTTTGGCTTTTTTTCTTTGTTTTTTGCCATAACCAAATACCATAGACTGGGTGGCTTAAACAATAAGAAGTTATTTCTCCCTTTTCTGGAGGCCAGTCCAGAGGCAGCAGCAGATTCAGCACTTGGTGAGGGCTCGCTCCCTTGTGCCCAGGCGTTGGCCCATTAGGCTCTTAGTGAGAAGGTCTCTTCCTGACTTGCAGACAGCAGTCTTCTCCTTCTTTCTAGAGCGATGCCAATCACATGGGGTTAAATGACCGCATTTAGCTTAATGACCTCCTGAAATTCCTAAATCCAGCCACAGCAGGTGTTAGGCTTTCAACCTATCAATTTTAAGGGGACAGAATTCAGCCCATAACATCCCTCTCCTTTTGCTTAGGCCTGAATTATGACTTCTGGGGCTCACAGTAATAGTTCATCCTTTTTTATTGCTGAGTGTTAATTCATGCTATAAAAATAGCTTGGAGGACATTAGGGTTGTCTCCAGTTTGCACTGCTAAGAAAGGGCTGCACTGAGAATCCTTGTCCTACGTTTCCTATGCGCATCTGGGCTTTGGAGGTTCCACAGTGGACTTGGAAAACCCCTCACTTCAGCAAGTTGAATTTTACAGACATCTTCATTTAGAGGCTCACGGCTCTAACTCCTGACTTCACGACCCATGGTTACTGCTGACTCAGCAATGAGGCACTGTTAGTGACTTCTTCACCCTCAGCAGGGTGCTTCGGCTGGTGATGACCCCAGTCATGGGTTGCAATGGGACTGCCACTCAATGCTACTGCAGCTGGTCAGGGAGGGTCCTGTCACACGACTCCTCCGAAATCAGGGAGTGCAGTTCCAGCCAAATGAAAGCTTTCTAAGACTCTTGTCTGAAGCCTTAACAGTAACGATAACAGCATTTCCTCCTTAAAGATTCGAGGGTTGGGCCTGGTGTGATAGCGTAGTGGCTAAAAGTCCTCGCCTTGCATGTGCCAGGATCCCATATGGTCGCTGGTTTTAATCCCGGCAGTCCTGCTTCCCATCTGGCTCCCTGTTTGTGGCCTGGGAAAGCAGTTGAGGACGACCCAAGGCCTTGGGACCCTGCACCTGTGTGGGAGACCCGGAAGAGCTCCTGGCTCCTGGCTTCGGATTGGCTCAACTCCAGCCGTTGCGCTCACTTGGGGAGTGAATCAGCGGACAGAAGATCTTCCTCTCTGTCTCTCCTCTCTGTATGTCTGATTTTGCAATAAAAATAAATTAAATCTTAAAAAAAGATTGCAGGGTCAAATCCTAATGAGGCAGTGAATAGGGGAAATAATTCCTTGTGTTTATGGAGCTCTCAGGGTATCTGAGCACTGCAGATCTTGCATTGACTTCATTGTTAAAATATACCATTTTTCATGATTTAAAATTATCCTAAAATACATCTATGAATAAGGGCAAGGGCATCAGGAAAAATTTTGAGTTTCCAGACCTGCTACTTCATACAGTACTGAGTACAAATTAGCTTCAACAAGTTTATGGAAAATGGAAGTAAAAGGTGTGCTTATTTTGGTACAGAAAAGTTTTGAAATCCATGTGTAGTTTTTTTCAGTGAACGCCATTTTTTAAAAACTTTTTGAGAACCACTTATACTGATTGCAGAATTTTTTTGCACTAAAATGAACTTTACCTTCTCATGCCATCTGCTATTAACTTTTTGTAGTGCCTCTGTATAGTCAAAGAGCTTGGAGAAAATATCTGTATTACTGGTTACACACTGTGCTGAGTAGGTTAAATAGGGTGAAGGGGCAGGCTGAGCTCTGTTATAGGAAGGTGAAATTTGGTAAACTCATTTGGCCCCGAGTATGGAACTTGGCTTTTGTTTTTGTCTTCCTCCAGGCTTTGAAAAAAGCAAGCACAAGGTCATGAGCTGTTTTGGGACAATGACATGAACAATCTTAACATGGTGTGACAATGTTTTCTCCATGCTCGTATAAGATGGCAATTAATAATAGTGTCTTTTCTAGGGTTGTTGTCAGGAGTAAATGAGAAAACACATGTATACTTTATGAATGCTTACACAAACATTGGCATCATCAGTGTTTTTATGCTCGTAATAAGGCACAGTGGTTAAGACACCTCTTGGAGATAGCTGCATCCCCTATCGCAGTGACTGCGCTTGAGTTCCAACTCTGCTTCCGAGTTCAGTTTCCCATTAACGCAACTGAGGTCTCAGTAGCCCACATGAAAGACCCAAATGGAATTATAAGCGGCTAATAGCAGGGGTTGAGGTTGTGACACTGTGGCTTAAATTATCACTTGTGGTGCCAACAGCCTATATCAGAACCTTGTTCAAGTTCTGGTTGCTGGCCTCCCATTCAGTTCCCTTCCAATGCACCTGGGAAAGCAGAAGAAGATGGTCTGCATGCTTGGGTGGGAACTCCAGATGGAGCTTCTGGCCCATCCCTGGCCATTGAGACCATCTGGGGAGTGAACCAGCAGATGAAAGACTGATTTTTCTCTATGTATCTTCCTTGCTGTCTGCCACAATGCCTTTCAAATACATAGGTAACCTCAAAAGAGTTTTTAAAAACATGGAAAAAAGCAACAGAAAAATGTGGAAAAGGCAAATTCAGTAATATATCAACTTTATTTTGACTTACAACATGGAAAGTGTCAGCAAACAAATATATATATAATGAAAAACTTTACTAGCTCAGTTGAGCCAATGGTTTGCATAGGAATTGCTTATTTTGAATCTTCGGATGTAGGGCCAATGAACTATGAATTAGGTGATCCTAAAACAAAAATCATTTACATGTATGCAAACTAAAAGGCAATTTTTAAAGTATCAGACTCTTTATTCAATCTTGGAAAGATGATCAGTCATCTTTCCTGCTATGGATAAAATCATAATGTAACCTAGATGAAAAGTGACCCTTCTAAGCTCGGCACTCATACCCATACTAAGAAAGACTCCATTAAACAGTATGAAAACAAACAATTGGCTTCATTCCCAGGACTCTGATACTGTTTAGGTCATTATTTACTTAAAAAGTGAACTAAGAACCAAGTCAACCCCACTTTTGTCTTCTAGAACTTAGCGGCACATGAAATACTGTTTGGTTTTATATCAGTAATAAGCAATTGTTTCTTAGCATGAGGACTAAGGGAAAATATGTTAAACAGGTGAGGCCCCATAATTTTCCTTTCCTAAATGAATACTGCTGTTTTCTAATTCCCATAAGGGAAAATGTGTATTTGTACAACTCTGTTGAATACAAGAATGCCAGTGAGGGAATTGACATATTTTTTTAAGCTACCAAAGATTTTCTAGCTGGATGCTACAGTGCTACACAGCTTTGTAATTTCTCATCCTGAAGTTGCATGGCAGGATTTCTGCACAGCCCAGAAGGCTGTAGGCCTCTTGGAGGCTGAGGGCAGCTCATTACTGGTTATGCTGGGATATTGAGCCAAATAAGTCCTCTTTAATGGGATTACTCCTAACACATTTCAAGGGAAGAACTTCTTATTTCAAAAATCATAATATATCATTTACTGAGTTAAAGGCAACACTTTAGTATCAGTGAAAGTTGGTTAGAAATTATGTGGGAATTATGACATTGTCCTCTACTGCAACATGTCTTCACAAAGAACATCAGCTTGAAATAGAAAACAACCTGAGCAAGAAAGCTAAAGATGTGTTCAAGTAACAGAAACGGTCTCTGTTTGTTATGACACAACACAGAAAGGTTCACTTTTGTAGACACTGTTAGGCACTGTCTGAGGCTGCTAGATACTGTTGACCATAAAGTGCTTTGAATGTGAAACTCAACCCTTTCAATGAAGAATTCAGTAACCCTCAGGATTCTTTCTTGGAATCAGTCAACCCAAGAGCATGCATAGATAAATGCTTATTAAACACTAACAGTCTTTTATTACTTGCGCTTCTGCAATTGAACAGCAACACGCAGAAATTGCTGATACTCAAAGTCATTGTATAAAGCGATGCAGTGCTGGAGCTCAAGCCCCCCACAGTACATAAGGTCTACTCCCTTATGGCATGGGAAATACATTCCCAATGTCAGAACCAAAATAAAACCTCAAAGAGGACAAGCTCAAAGACACAGGTTGCTTGCTGAATTTCCAAATTTGCCCCTGGTATCCTAATATACCTATAATATTGATTCTAAGTAATTTTTTTATGTGTCAGGAATACGGTGAAGATCAAATAACAAATGCAGAGTTTGTCTTTTTCTATAGTTCAACAGTCCATCTTTTGATTGGCACATGGTGAAATGTCCAAAGTAGCTTTTTAATAGCGTGTGTTTACACATCATTGACTCACTCTGATTGCAATTTCTGGTCTAGGAGAGCAGAAAACATTCTTCACTAGAGTAACATACATCAATTTATGTCGTGTAGGGTAGACCTTTATGTCTGCAGAATACCCATGTAACACAAACCAAAAGTGCATCAACTTACTCAAGGCCAAGCTTTCAGGCCAAGCTTTCTGCCTCCTTGCCTAGGACCCCAAATTTTGTCCAACTCAGAATTTAACCCAGAGACCCAAATGAGCATAACTTAAAAGAAGTATCGATGGGTCCAGGAATATGCCAGCCTCCCTGCCACCCCGAGATGAATCCCAGAGCATTGTCTAAGAAGCTCACGTTCAGGGAGGGAAATGGAACCCTGAATTGTTCCACTCCTGACCAATGCCCAAAGCACAACTTTTCTTGGCCAGGGACCCACAGGGTGGGCATTTTTTGTTTAGTCTTGTATTCTTTAAAAGAGTCACTGTTTGAAAAGGAACTTCCTGTGGGACCATGTGGTTGAGGTTTCCATCACATATGGTACCATGTTAGTTCTTCCTGTGTCCTTCCTTACTTCGCAGGAGATGTAATATGCGTTCATTTTTGGTTAGTTCTGCGGGGAGTTCATTGGCCTGAAAGAAGCAAAGACAGGTGTTAATGAATTTTTTGCACCTGCGGTAGTTTTTAAGGGACCCCAAAGGCACATCTGACCCACACTTTCTTCTTCACTAATGAAAGAACCCCATGGACTTCCTCTTTAAGCGTTAAACATCTCCTTTAAATGTATACATATCCCATTATTCTCTTATTTCATTCATTGTAAGAGTTACTAATCTGTTCAGCCAAATCCCATACTAAATTATAATCTAGAGACCAACATCCTGCTAATCCTAGTATCTACATTTCCAGCACAAAAATGTCTGTCACATCTAATATATCCCCAATAACACACTGGGCAGTCTGTGATACCTTCAGTTTAATTAGTACATCCTATGAGGTGATTTGTCCAACAGAGATGGTCTGTCAGCAACAGCAATACTGAGCTTGTATATACTGCATATCTCATCCAAGGATCTCAAAGTCAGGAGATTAGCAATGCAAGACAGGTTCTTTTTGTCTTCATAGTCTATATTTTATTATTTTTAATTGATATTTTTAAAAAAGTTATTTGCAAGGAAGCATTAGAGAGAGAGAGAGTCAGTCTTCTATCTGGTTGTTTACTCCCACATGGTCACAACAGCCAGGATTGGGCTGGGCCAAAGCCAACAGTCTGAAACTCCATCCAGGTATCCCATATGGAGGAAGGAGTTTAAGCACTGGGGCCATCTCTCACTGCATTCCCAAGAGCATTAGCAGGGAGTTGGATTGGAAGTGCAGCAGCCAGCACTTGAATGGGTAGTAGCTTATCCATTACACCACAATGCGGACCCCTATTATTATTTTTAAATTGTACACAGTTATTGAGTACATTGTGAATATTTGGTACAAGTATACAATGTATACTAATCACATTGGGTAATTAGCATTTCAACTTTCTTACAAGTTTGTCAGGAGCTTCTTTAGGGTCTCCCCTAGGAGTGCAGGAGCCCAAGGACTTGAGCCATCCTTTGTTGCTTTCCCAGGCCACCAGCAGGGAGCTGAATCAGAAGTGGAGCAGCTGGAACTTGATGGGATGCTGGTGTCACAAGCAGAGGATTAATTTGCTGTGCCACACATCAGCCCCAGGAAGTCAGTTTTTCAGTGTCTACATGTAAATGAAAACATGCAGTACTAGGACAGGTGTCTTCTGATGAGAAGACAGGGTAAAGAAATACCCAAAGCATAAAACAACCTGGAAAGAACTATACATGCCACCCAACTTGATATTACTGTAAGTCATTTCTTTCCATACTACTGCTGAGACACAGTATTCAATGAGCCAGTCCTTACTCTAAGCAATGGGTGCAATGGGGCAGAGGTTCTTGGACTTTTTGGTCTCTAATTAAGGATTGAGCATTTCTGGAATGAGTGTTTGGGACAGAAGTTACAATTCTGTTTGGGAGGAGGTGGCACAGTAGGCTAATTCTTAGCCTTGTGGTGCCACAGCATCACATTTGGGCACCAATTCCTATTCCCCAGCTATTCCACTACTGATCCAGCACCCTGTTAATGGCCTAGGAAAGCAGTGGAGGATGATCCAAGTCTTTGGATCCCTGCACCTATGTGGGAGGTCTAGAAGAAGCTCTGGTTTCCAGCTTTGGAACTGCCCAGCTCTGGCTGTTGGAGCCATTTGGAAAGCGAACCAGGGGATGCAAGATCTCTCTCTTTCTTTTTCCCTCCTCCCTTCTCTCAGTATGTCTGACTATTATCAAGTAAAAAAAAAAAAATCTTAAAAAAAAATTATGAGCCTGGCGCAAGAGCCTAGTGAGTAAAGTCCTCGCCTTCCATCTACCAGGATCCCATATGGGTGCCAGTTTGTGCCCAAGCAACCATGCTTCCTATCCAGTTCTGTGCTTGTGGTCTGGCAAAGCAGTTGAAGACGGCCCAAAGCCTTTGGACCCTGCACCTGTGTGGGAGACCTGGAAGAAGCTCCTGGCTCCTGATTTTGGATGGACTCAGCTCTAGCCATTGCAGCCACTTGGGAGTCAATCAGTGGATGGAAGATCTTCCTCTGTCTCTCCTCTTTGTATAACTGACTTTCCAATAAAAATAAATAAATCTTTAAAAAAATATTCTGTTGGAGATACCTGCACCCCATATTGGAGTGTCTGGGTCCAAGCCCCTGTTCTGCTTCCCATTCCAGTTTCCTGCTCCTGGAGGAATTCCTGGGAGCCAGAGAGGATGGTTCAAGTGGTTGGCTCCCTGCCTCTCTGTGGCAGACCTAGAAGGAGTTCTGGGCTCCTGGCTTTGATTTAGTCTTGCTGTGGCACTGTAGGCATCTGGAGAACGAACCAGAGGGTGAAAGGTCTTCCTTTGTCTCTATCTAACAAAATGAACTAAATATGAATTTATTTATTTATTTGTTTATTTTAAAGATTTATTTATTTATTGGAAAGTCAGATATACAGAGAGGAGGAGAGATAGAGAAGATCTTCTGTCTGATGATTCACTTCCCAAGTGACCGCAACGGCTGATGCTATGCCGATCCAAAGCCAGGATCCAGGAACTTCTTCCAGGTCTCCCACACGGGTGCAGGGTCCCAAAGCATTGGGCCATCCTGGACTGCTTTCCCAGGCCACAGGCAGGGAGCTGGATGGGAAGTGGGTGTGCCGGGATTAGAACTGGTGCCCATATGGGATCCTGGCGTGTTCAAGGCGAGGACTTTAGCTGTTAGGCCATGCCGCCGGGCCCCATCTGAATTTAAACATTATTGCATTCCTCTTGCAGTTTTTAACTTCCTAGAAACTAGAGCATTTCAAAAATACAATTACCTGACATCACTAACGCCCAACTAATTAATGCTAATCCTCAGGGAAACGCGAGGTAAAACCATTGCTGCCACTTCATACTTCTACAGTGGCTGTTCTTGGAAAGAGATTGGTAAAGAGGTGCAGAAAAGACAGCTCTGACTCTTTGTTGGTAGACATGTAAATTAGTGAGGCATCATGGAGAACTGTATGGAGGTGCCTCAGAAATTCAAAATAGAGCTACTGGAAGATCCAGCAATTCCACTACTGGGTAATAGCAAAGACACATGGACAAAACTGTTGAAGAGGCATCTGCACTTCGATGTCTACTGTAATACTAGTCACAACAGCCAAGAATTGAAAACCTAAGTGCCCATGAGTGGCTGGAGGGACAAGGAAAGTATGATGGACATAAAGAGCGAATACTACTTTACCATCCTAGTAAGGTAATATGCTGAAAATCTGTCCTTTTCAACCACAGGCAGGAAAATTGAGGTCATGTTAAAGGTAGTGGACCAGGCACAGAAGACGAGTACTGGACAGCCTCAACTCACATGTGAGTCTAAAAAGTTGGCATGAAAGCACTTTAGAGTAGAATAGAGGATACCAGAGATGGCAGAGCAGCAGAGAGGGAGGGATGAGGCTAAGCCACAGTAGGGGTGGGGGAGCGAAGGTGTGACAGTCCATCATGCTGTCCGGTGATCGGAGGGAACTCTAATGCAGTGTAGAATTACAAAAAACTACAAGAAAGGATTTTGAATGCTTTCTTTTTAATGAGAAACATTTGAGGAGATGAATGTTTATCCTGATTTTACAGTGTATGTATGTCTGTATGTATGTACTGAAAGATCACATGCTGGCTTATAAACATGCATACATTTATGTGTCAATGAAAATAGAAAAGTTTAAATATATGAATTGATTAAAAATGATAAACTCATTACTGGCTAACATAAATATCATATTTACAAAAATCCCCAGGAAAGTCTTAAGAATAAAAAAAATTGTTATAAAAGTTGCACTGGGTTGTTTTGCCTCTTTTTTTTTTTTTAAGATTTATTTTATTTATTTGAAAGGCAGAGTTACAGTGAGAGGTACAGACAGAGAAGTCTTCCATTGACTGGTTCATGCCCCAAATGGCCACAATGGTCAGGGTTGCACCAGGCTGAAGCAAGGAGCCAGGAGCCACCTATGTGGGTACAGGGACCAACCATTTGGGGCACCCTCTGCTTCTTTCCTAGGCACAGTGTCAAGGAACTGGATGGGAAGCACAGCAGCTGCGACTTGAACAGGGCTCTCATTTGGGATGCTGGCACCATTAGTGGCAATTTGAACCACTGTACCACATCATGAGCCCCTGTTGTACTTGTTTCTTTTTTTTTTTTTTTAAGACTTATTTATTTATTGGAAAGTCAGATATACAGAGAGGAGGAGAGACAGAGAGAAAGATCTTCCGTCTGATGATTCACTCCCCAAGTGAGTGCAACAGCAGATGCTATGCCGATCCGAAGCCAGGATCCAGGAACTTCTTCCAGGTCTCCCACATGGGTGCAGGGTCCCAAAGCATTGGGTCATCCTGGACTGCTTTCCCAGGCCACAAGCAGGGAGCTGGATGAGAAGTGGGTGTGCCGGGATTAGAACTGGCGCCCATATGGGATCCTGGCGTGTTCAAGGTGAGGATTTTAGCTGCTGGGCCACGCCGCCAGGCCCTGTACTTGTTTCTTTAACTGTGAATCTTACAAGAAGACAGCTGGATTGTCCTACCTGCTGTTGCATCCAGTCTATTGTGATGAGCTGTTGAAATTGTGATAGGCTACTAAGGCACAGGAAGAATACTAAGCCTCAAGGAGACATGTGGTTAGAACAGGGAAGAGCGTGTTATTAGCTTTAAGGATGCCTGTAGATATTCACTGATGCCATGCCAATCCTTGATAAAGGGTAGTTTCTTTAATTTTTTAAATTTACTTGTTTTATCTATCAGAGATGTAGAGAGAGACACAGAAAGAGATCAAGCACTCTTTAAACACCCACAAAAGCTGGGGTTGGGCCAGGCTAATGCTGGGAGCTGGGAACTCAACTCAGATGGGAGTGGCAGGGAGTCAAGTGCTGCCTCTGAGGGTGCACATGAGCAAGTAGCTGGAGCTGGGAGTGGATCAAGGGGTTGAAGCTAGGCACTCTGATACAAGATACAGCTGTCCCAACCATTGCCTTAACCTTAAGGCCAAACGTGTACCCACAGGGGTGGTTTCCTGAAGGTTAATTTCAGTGTGGGATCTGAAATCACAGCAGGGTGCTTTTTGTACTGTTGCACTGAAATCCACAGCTCTGTCTATGTACGGTTGGATCATGTGCCCATGTCTGACTTCAGCATTGGGTACTGCTCACAGACTTCACTGAGCTACATTTACCTTCCCAATGTTGACACATTCATCTTACAATACCAAAAAGTCACACTCATTAGCATTACCGTTAATTTATTCTCTGGCAGTCAACCCCAGTTGCTCTATCTGGGACCCTGTTCCTAGGTGAAGCTCCTGAAATATCCACGTTCTAGACTGAAGCCAACTCCCCAAGTGCCACCCGCTAGCTAGGATCTTCCTTTTGAGAATTATGCACCTGTCACAGTGATCTGCAATATCACATGGGACCCTACATGTTGCTGCCGGATTAAATCTGAGTGGAAACTGCTATGCTGTGCTATGCTACCACAGATCAGAGGCCCTTGGATGGGGTCAAATTCCACAACTGAAGCAGAGGCTTCACTAATGCAGAGAAATGATCTAGGTAAACAGCCCTAAGCCTACGGAATGACTTATCTGTGGACATAGATCATTGGGCCATGATGAGCAGGTGGCGAGCAGGCAGGAGACAGGAGCTGAGAGGGGTCACTATCAACTGTTAGCTGGCTGCCTTCTGTGACCATCTCCATGAGTGCCCAGATCCTCGACTATCTGATCATAAGCTCTATCCCTTCAAACTGTGTTGTCAAATTTGGATCAATCCCATCACCACTCTGAGTGACACTCATGTAGTTCCAAAGACATGGTCTCCATTCTCTGTATTCACTGAATTCTCAGCACGCTAAGGCTGTGGGTATTGTTCCAATGACGGTGCCCAGGGCTAGCCCCTATTGGTCATCTTGCTTATTGTGTGGCAGGACTAAAGATCCATGCGTGGACAGTGGCAGAGAATCCACTTCCTATTGTCAAGATTTATTTAGCAGTTTCATTGGGAGTCCACCTTTGATGTGGAAATAGAGATGATTATTGCATTGTTTTATCCTCACATCTGGATATGATAATTTCTATTACACAGTTACTATATATCCCCTTAATGAAAAGCCATTAAACAAAATCAATAGCAGGAAGAAAAATAGAAAATGTACAACCATGAAGTTAAATAACATGTTACTAAATGACCAATGTATTGCTGAAAAAAATGAAAAAAATTGTCAAAAGCCTTCTTCAAGCAAACAAGGTCAGAATACACGTAAGCAGCAGAATGATGGACTCGTGACTGTGTACGGAGGACCACAGTACTAGGATAACACAGGGGAAATCAGTGGGGGTGGGAGGAGATTTCAGGAAAGGGAAGGGAAATCCCAGAGTCTGCGGAACTGTATCATAAAATAATAAACAAACAAATAAATAAGTCCATGTGTGAATTTCCTCCTCAGGCCTCTGCCTTGACCCCCAGAACCGAAGTCCTGCATCTCTGGCAGGAGAAAAGGGCTTCCGTGTTAGCTAAGGGGTCACTTTCCCCGGGGAGCCTTGAGAGCCCTGCTCACTCTGTATTGCCATCCCTTGTTTGTCTTTATCTCCCACCCCGCCCCTCATCCACAGTAAAATCTGAGCTCCATGAAAACAGACTGAGAATCTTGGTCACCACTGTGTTCTCAGAATAGAGCACGGTACATGATATCTAGCAGTCTGTTCAGGAAGTATTTGGTGAATGAATGTAGGAATGAAGGACAAAACCATTGGATGGCTTCTGAGTGTGCGGGGCCTTCCTTTGCAGCTACTCCCAGGACTTTAGCAGCTTCTGTTCTATGAGGTTCTATTGTGAATGCCCACACATACATGTTCAAATACTTGTTAGGAGGCACACAAACACCATTGGAAATCTCAACCGTTGTTGCTGATTGTTCTCCCATTGCTCTAGCAGACACACAAGGAACTGCGCTGTTTAGTTCTGGTTTGAAGTTGTCTAGTGTTGCCCCCTTGCCTTCAGTTAGTACTGAACAGCTTACAAACAAGTAGGAAGTTTGTGTACAAGGACTAAAACATGACAAGATCTGAAAGGAAGGCTTATCACTCCACGAGGTCAATGCATGCAGAACAAATCCAAGTATCTCAGGCAGTAACTGAGTGACTGAATGGGAAGTAACACTTCTACATACAATGTAAAATGAGAAGAGCATCTCTTGGCAAGTTGTTTGGCACTTAACACTTTCTTTACCAAATGTCAGTAGCTAACTGCTCTTGTTTTTTTAAAATTATAACATGGCAATAGATGCTTATAAAAATGGAGAGTATATGAAGGTTGCTTTTTCATACCTTTCCTCCTTTTCTTTCTTTTTTTTAAAAGATTTTATTTATTTTTATTCGAAAGGTGGATATACAGAGAGGAGGAGAGACAGAGAGGAAGATCTTCCGTCAAATAGTTCACTCCCCAAGTGGCTGCAATGTATGGAGCTGAGCTGGTGCCCATATGGGATCGTGGCATTCAAGGCAAGGGCCTTAACAACTACACTATTGCACCGGGCCCTCTTTTTTTTTTTTTAAGATTTATTTTATTTGGGTCGGGTGGCATGGCCTAGCAGCTAAGGTCCTGGCCTTGAACGCACTGGGAGACCATATGGGTGCCGGTTCTACTCCTGGCAGCTCCACTTCCCATCCAGCTCCCTGCTTGTGGCCTGGGAAAGCAGTCGAGGACGGCCCAATGCTTTGGGATCCTGCACCTGCATGGGAGACATGGAGGAGGTTCCTGGCTCCTGGCTTTGGATCAGCACAGCACTGGCCATTGCAGTCACTTGGGGAGTGAATCATCAGATGGAAGATCGTCTTCTCTATCTCTCCTCTTCTCTGTATATCTGACTTTGTAATAAAGAATAAATAAATCTTTAAAAATAAAAAATTATTTTACTTGTATTGCAAAATCAGATATACAGAGAGGAGGAGAGACAGAGAGGAAGAGTTTCTGTCTGATGATTCACTCCCCAAGTGACCGCAACAGCTGGTGCTGAGCCAATCCAAAGCCAGGAACCAGGAACTTTCTCCAGGTCTCCTATGCTGGTGCAGTGTCCCAAGGCTTCGGGCTGTCCTCGACTGCTCTCCCAGGCCAAAGGCATGGAGCTGGATTGGAAGCAGGGCTGTTGGGATTAGAACTGGTGCCCATATGGGATCCTGGTGCATTCAAGGTGAGGACTTTAGCTGCTTGGCCACTGCACCAGGCCCCATACCTTCCCTTCTTAATAAGTTCCAGTCCACATCTCCCCACAGTCAGTTGGTGGTTAGATGTCTCCCATCCAAGTACTAACCAGGTCCAACCCTGCTTAGCTTCTGAGATCAGACAGGATCGGGCGCGTTCAGGGTGGTATGGTCGTAGACAGTTGGTGGTTAGATGTATTTTCTCAAGACATTTTTTTTCTAGGCTAGTGTCTTTTCCCCAGTCCATATATTGACAGCTAAAGCAGATATCAAATAGGAGGAAGTGCAATGACAATCTTTTTTTTTTTTTCCTATTGCCACTGTGACTGTCAATTACGAATGTGGAACTAGAATTAAACAGGTTGGTTTTAGAACAGTGGCGTGGACTTCATTCAGCAGAATGAAAGTGACATTTTCCTATAGTTTTCAAAAACAACATGAGTGATTCTGAAGATAGGAATATCCATCCACAGAATGTTTTAGGGAACATGAAAAATGACAGAACAATACTTATTGCCCATAATGATTATTCCCTGGTCTCCCCCCTGCCAGGAGGCTGCCTCACTGTTAAATGAGAACCACTTTGGATACAGGGGTTTTAGTACAGTTCCCTGGGCCCAAATGTACCATGCGCGAGTGCTCTTAGCATGCATAAGAATGAAGAGAGTCTGAGTGTCATCTGAATGTCCCCTAAGGTGTCATATGTTCAGAGTTTGTCTCCATTGGGAGATATGGAAGCACATAAGGCCATGAGGGCAGAGTGCCCACAACTCTGGCACACATTGGGTCCCATGCTCTCTGTCTCTTGACATGTGATGCCCTGGGCTACCCTGGGACTTTTTCAGCAAGGAGGCCACCACTAGCTGAGACTCCGGGACTCTGTGTCTGCCTGAGGTGTTCTGTTGGAGCAGCAAAGAGCTGATGCACGGAGACACAGAGATGCTGATCATTTGACACAGCATGTAGAAGTATTACTTCCCATCCCCCCTTGCGCACAGGGGCCTGGAGGAGGTAAGAGATGCACTGAATGGGTACCTTGTTTCTCAGCGATGGGTCCGCCCCGGCGTCCAGGAGCAGTGCAACTGTTTTGATATTCCCACTGAGCACAGCCGCATGGAGTGCCGATGTCCCGTTCTAGGAGAAAAGTGATATGTGGGTCAGGAGTGAGCTCGCAGCCGGCAGCACTTAGGTTGGCCGCCGTCATGCACCGTCGGAGTAAGCAATCGTCATGTTACAGCCTTACTCTCTGTATCTCCCCTTGTACTTTCCAAAGTCCTGCCTGTGCCTGGGTCAGCGTCCTCAGATACAGAACTGACGCTAGTGTAAACACTGCCCATGTTCTTTTGCAAGTGAAGCCAGGGCTCCGGGCCCAGGGCACCTGTGACTTCATGGTCACACAGAAGTGTGGAGCTGCACACAGAATGGAGCTGCAGAACAAACAGCTACCTTTCCACCTCCAAAGACAATACATATTGTCTCTATACTTCTGGTACCGTTCCAGCAGGGCAGCAGGAAGGGCAAGCTGGCCTAATGGGTCACCCTGTTAGTCCAGCTGCAGGCACCCGGCCCACTCAAGAGGGCAGCTATGCAGTGACTGGGCTTAGGAGGGAAGACCCAAGGGGTGAAGCAACACCCCCAAGAGCTTGAACTGCAGCATTTCTGGGTACAGAAGGCCCTTAGGCTGCTCCTATTCTATAGCATCTGTGTTTGTGGAGATAAGAAAGCAGACACACACGGTATGTGTGGCTGGATCTGGGAAGGGAGGGGCAGATAACAAAATATCTACCATCAGTGGACGTCACAGGGCGTTAGTTCCGTAAGACAGACACATCTTTAATTAGCACATCTTTAACAAGCTTACTTTCCTAAGTATTCACACTTTTTAAAAAAACTCTGACTTTGTTAAAGAGATGATCAAACAAAAAGAAAAAAAAAAAATCCAGCAACGTAGCATTTTTCAACAGTTGCTTTTAGGATATGTCTGATAATTCAGTAATTTGATTAACCCTTTCACTATCTACTTCACCCATTTGCAACATGTCTTAGAATTTAGAAAAATACACTTGATCTTAGCCAAAAGGCTGAGAAGTGATTAGAATTCAGAAAAATAAAGCCTGCTTAAAGTGAGACTACATAATGCCGATCCGTTTCTATACCATGTTCCTTTTGTTCAGAGGTCACTTTCAGAGACAATTTGTTCTTATTTTACAATTTCTTTTCTCTTTTCTTTTTTTCCTTTTTTTTTTTTTTTCCACAAGGGCAGCCTTCTGGCTTTGCAGCTCATGGAAAATTCGAAGCGGCTCATTAGAACAGAAGACAGTCCAATACACTGACGGCAGCACTTCTGACATCAGCTGGCGACAGAAACTCAGTCCAAAAACATAAAAGAGCAGACATAAACTACCCAAAACACTTTTGGGGGTCATTCAAGTCGACTTCATTCTCTGGTAGATCCTGGGTACTGCCCTCAGCCTGCCAAATCTGTATCAATCTGAGGCAGACATTTAAGAAAAGAGCCAATGGCAGCCAGTGAGTCAAATCCAGCCAGCTGCCTATTTAAGTGTGTGTGTGTGTGTGTGTGTGTGTGGCGGAAGCTAAGGATTGTTTTTAAGTTTTTCAATGATTAAAACACAGTAAGCAAGTATTTGGCAGTAAGTGAAAACACAGGATTTCATAGATATGATGTCATAAACAAATAGAGGGTTATGGGCATGCAACCCCCTACTTTTTTCATTTTTTTCTGCCTGTTTTCATGTGATCATGGCAGAACTGAGCCAACTGACATAGGCTATGTGGCTTGCAAAGCCTAAAAGGTTTACTACCTACCTGGTTCTTTACAAATCAAGTGTGTAGACCCTGATATTTACCATGGAGTACTGTTCTTCTAATGCCAAATATTTACAACCTTAAAAAAAAAGAGCCTGGCGTGGTAGCCTAGCAGCTAAAATACTAGCTTTGAAAGGGCCAGGATCCTATAAGGGCATCAGTTCTAATCCTGGCAGCTCCACTTCCCTCCCTGCTCCCTGCTTGTGGCCTGGGAAAGCAGTCCAGGATGGCCCAAAGCCTTGGACCCTGCACCAGCATAGGAGACCTGGAGAAAGTTCCTGGCTTTTGGCTTCGGATCGGCTCAGCACCAGCTGTTTTGTCCTTTGGGGAGTGAACTGTCAGATGGAAGGTCTTCCTCTCTGTCTCTCCTCCTCTCTGTATATCTGACTTTCCAATAAAAATAAATAAATTTTTTTTAAAGGAACCTGGGGGCTCAGGTCTCCAGAATGACATAGTTTCTGAGGCTGCCAGGTGTTCAGGTTTATTTTATCTTGCCAAGAGTGGCAAAAGCTGAGTAGGAATGCAAGCACCTGCTCTTCCTTGATTTCACAAAGCTTCCATACGGTGTCTGCTTTACTTCCCACTCGAGTCACTTAAATTCGTATGTCTCTTTTTTCTTTTTCAGGAGAACTCGGGACTGCTGGCTCTGGTTTCCTCCTTCGTCCTCTTCTTTATGGTGGCCAGTGCTCATGAGCCTCCAGCACCAGGAAGCTGCAGTTGTGTTGTTCAAGGATACAAACTAGCCAGGCTGATTACACCTCCAATTGTACTGAGCCCCCAAGTGTGGACTTCCGGCTCCCAACCTCTCCTGCCTACACACTGGTGTCATTTCTCTGTTGGTCTTACCTTCAAAATACCGAGAGTAGGTGAGAACTTCAGCAATTCCTCAATGACGTCATTGTACCCTTTGTTGGCTGCTTTCAAAAGTGCTGTTGTACCATCCTGTGCCGCCGGGGAGGGGGGGAGGGAGACAGGCTGATAAATAATGTGTGTCGTGTGGGTTGAGAACTCAGGGATGGCTGAGGATTGGGAAGAGCACACTTGTCAGAAATGGGCAGGATTGGCAATCAAGCACAGGTCAGTCCTGTCTTAATCTAGGGGCATTTTGGAGCACATAGATCCCAGACAGCTTATATTGTCTTTGAACTCTGCCATCTGGGAATTCGTATGTAAAACACTGGGTAAAGGACAAGAAGAACTGCAAGAGCATATTTACCGGGCCACTGATGAGCAAAAAGTCACCCTCATGACTTGGCAGAAACAGTCTTCTCTTTAGTGATTTAAATACCTGTGGAACTGTAGTCACTGTTTTAAAAATGTATAGCCACTTGTGCTAGTCTTCCCCCTGTCCCAACCCCTAGATAAGATATCTATCTCTTCCCAGGAGCGGGGCATGGCGCTAAGACTACAGTCTGCTCAACAAGAATGTTACACCAACATTGAGCTTCTGCCGCTAGCGCAAGAGGAGACTTTTCAAATCTCTCTTTCTTTTAACAAATCAATGGCTCTGTTTGAGGATTAGCCCACAGTGCTCTGAGGAGCCTCTGGATGCCCTTAGGACTCACCTGGCATCAGGAAGAAGGAAGGTGGGGTTTTCCTTCAGTGGCTTTAGCCATTGTGGGAAGAAGGAAAAGAGGGTGGGAGCTAGGACAGTGCAGTGTGCCTCGATCTCCCCTTTCTGGTCTCCAATTAGGAGAGGGGCAGGTGGGTGACATCATCCAAGCTCTATGTAAGGGCATGGAGCCCATACACAGCAAATACCCCAGGCAAACAGGATGGTGCTGAGATGGGGGTGAGGGTGCGGACAGAGGGCCTGTTGTTTGGAGGGCACTCAGGCCAAGTTGGGTAACACCAGCAGGGGCTCCTGGAGACATCAGGTGGGTGGGGGACATGCTGGGGATGCTTGAGTGGGAGCCAGTGGGATGCAATGCTTTGCCTAACACCCAGAGGCCAGCAGGAGGCATGCCACCACCCAGGGGATTACCCCTGACTCCCAAGGTCAGCCTGAAGCCAAGACTCCAACCTTTCCCAGTGTGCCCACAAGTCATGTCAGGAGGAGGGGAAGAGAGGGCCAGCAGCACCTGCTGTTTCCACTGAGTGGGACTTTGCTTTCCTGCTTCAGGGCAGGGGGAGGTGGAGAGGAAACCCGGTGATTGGCATGCTGCACTGGGGTCTGGAGGGTGGGCAGTGCTACTCACGTTGCGTGTTGCATCCCGGTCAGCCCCGCGTAGCAACATCACACGTACCACCTCGCTGTGGCCCATTTGGGATGCAATCCACAGGGGTGCAGTGCCGTCCTATGGGGAGGAAAGAGAAGACTCTGGGTCACAGTTGCCCAAACTGAAAGTTGAATCCCTATGTGCTCGCTAGGCACTGAAGGGAGAAGAGGTGTTTTAACCCTTTGCTGGAGACTGGCATCCTTCCATGCCGCAGACAGCTTGAATAAGTGCCAGCTCTTGGCTCAAGAAGCAGCTATTTTGGGGCTGGATCTTTGGCCAGAGTTCCAGGGAAGGCAGTGTGGGCCCCTGATATGCACCTGAAGGCACAATTTCACAAACCCAGAGAGGAGGAGCCACCCCTCGCAACTTCCCTACTCTCCGAGGGGTCACACCATGACCTTGACAGAATACACTCTGCTTAGTAGCGTCCTGTCATTCCCACAGAAAAGTGCGTGGGGCCCATTGCCTTGGAGTCGGAGGACAGAGAACTTGGGATTTTTCTCCTAGTCCTCTGTTTCGGTATCCAGAGGCATATCCCCACCCCTCTCCACCTTCAAGGGAGCTTAAATTCTACGCGAAATGTGATGTTGCCTCTTTCGAGGAAATGCCATGCATTAGGTCAGAGCATTTTTGATCTGATTTCCTGTATAGCATTCTCCAACCACTCTTTTGTCATGGGCCCCAGGTCACAAAGCTAAGGACTGGTGCTCCAGAGAGGAACAGGTGAACTCTCCAAGGCATGGGCAGGAGGCACCAGAAGTGGAGGTCAGCCCCGAGTGTCCACATGTCCTTGTTCCTCCTGAGTTGAATCTGGGCATGAGAGTGGTGGTGGGGTGTTTCCAGATGGAGAGGAGTTCTCGCTTCTTGGGATTAAACCCCTTAGAGAAGCTCTACTCTGGGCTGGTGCTGAGACCCCCACCGCCCGCCCACAACCATCTGGCAAATGTGCATCCAGGAGTCTGACACAGTGGAGAAAGGGCAGGAGAAGGCACAGGATCCAGAAATGGTTCAACTTCATGTCTAAAGTTCTTATGGTAATTGGCCTGATGAGATGCTTTAGCCAGGTGAGGTAGAGTTCCCATAGTAGATGGGAAGGATACAGGATACAGAGTGACATTTTTGAGTTACATTTTGTACTGTCTCAGGCCATCCGACTCTAGACTCTAGCCTTCAAGGCAAGGCAGGCGCGGCACTGCTGCCCTTGGCTGTGCTGGGAAAGGGAGAGAGGACAGAGCTGTTTGCCTGGGGCGGTGGATGTCAGGAAAGGTGAAGGAGGAAGGCAGATGATACTTCTGTCTCATACTTTCCCAGGGCCTCTGACTATCATAACACCTTGGTTGGTACTTTTAGTTTACAAGGCATTTCCACATTCTTTATTTCTCTTAGATTTCTGATTCCCTTAAATTCTAGATTTAATGACTTACTCATTCATATAAGCAAGCAGCCATGGATTTAAGTACCTTTGGAGTCTCAGGCCAAGGACTGAAAATTAGCAGTGGAGAAGAGACATTGAAATTTCAATGCTGCAAAAGAGTCCGCACAGGATAAGCCTGGAGAGGGGTCCTGTCATCCTTACAGGGTTAACTTCACAAATAGGGTGACAGTGGACGTGGGGCTTGAAGGAGGACCTGGATATTGCCAGAGGGGAGAGGCCATTCTGGTTACTAGAATGAACAACTGTGGTTATGGCGGTTTGGACAGGCAGGGTGGGAAAGCAAGCTGCCGAGGTCCAGGGTATGAGGCGTTCCTGGAGAGGCATGGGCCGGCGGCTGGAACCACCCTCCACCCCCAGCTTGTGTGGGCGAGCTTTCTGTGATGATGCCCCAGGTGGCTTTTGTGCTTTGCTCATATCTCCACTAGAGGGCAGGCAGGGACAAGCAGCCAGAGACGACGGGCCCTGGTTCCAGGTACTTTTCAAGGGCTTGGTTGCTATGAATAAAACTATTGATGGATAAAGTGAAACAACAATGAAAACCCAAAAAACCCAAACTAAAAACAATTGCTGAGAGGTGCTGCATTGGGAATTGCTGTCAACATTAGCAGTTTATAACAATAATCCTAACACTGAAGTCACCTTAACTGGAGCAATCCTGTTAGGGGTAGAAGCAGTGACACCTATGCCCATGGCTCTCTGCCTCAGTGTCCCTTACTGTAAAAAAGGACTCCGTTCAGAGATTACTGAATGGAAAGGTATGCACAAGCTCGCAGGTGCCAGCACCAGATAATGGAAGCCTAGGAATGTTAACTGGATCTATCACTTCTCCTGAAAAACACTAAGCACCCTCCTTCGTACTTCTTTTCACAAAGTACTGCACATGCTTTATTGAGTGTGATTATCCCGCAACCCTGTTGGACAACTGATTGGCCAGCAGGTGCAAACAGCTGCTAACACGAGTTTTGGGAAGGGTCAGTCTCGTGTCTTCATCACTGGTAATATTGGAACAGCCTTAGTTTCTGGTGGGTTTTCCATTCCACTAAGGCCTGGATGGGTTAGAAACAGGCATAGAGGGCCCAGCGTGATAGCGTAGTGGTTAAAATCCTCACCTTGCATACCTGGGATCCCATATGGGCGCCGGTTCTAATCCCAGCAGCCCCAATTCCCATCCAGCTCCCTGCCTGTGGCCTGAGAAAGCAGTCCAGGATGGCTCAAAGCCTTGGGACCCTGCACCAGTGTGGGAGACCTGGAAGAAGCTCCTGGCTTTGGATTGGCTCAGCTCTGGCCGTTGCGGCTTCTTGTGGAGTGAATCATCGGACAGAAGATTTTCCTCTCTGTCTCTCCTGCTTTCTGTATATCTGACTTTCCAATTAAAAAAATCTTAAAAAAAAAAAAAGAAACAGTCATAGAAATGCTTAGTATTTTGTAAGTGCCTGGCATGTATTAGCCATTGCATTAACAACCTTGTTGGGAGTATTTCATTTTCCAAAATAGCCTTGTGATAAAGGTACCATTAATAGTCTGGCTTAATAGGTGAAAAAAGAAATCTTGAGATTCAGGGAAAGTGACTGGCTCATGGTCATGAGATTAATAACCAACGCCGGGACAGTGTTTAACTTCCTCAAATGGCCATCTTGCGTAACCACCAAGCTGCTCCCCAGTGAAAGGTCTAGGCTGGCTCCCTGGCTGCCCTGTAGTCTTCTTGGATTGGTGTCTGTCTGTGACAACCCAGACAACAGGAAATGGTGACAGTAAAGCTCAGTCTTCTGAAACATTTCCAGGATGCGTCCATAACCTGACCTTTGCCATAACCTTGGGTTCTTGGAAAGTCCCGAAAGGGGAGTAGGAGGGCTAATTGCAAGGGAATATCTCATTTTGGGATGAGATCTTGCTTTGGTTTCTGTGCATGGAAGAACCTGTTTGCCTAGTTCTGCTGTTCCAACTAGGTGGGATGTAGCTCTTACTGATTAGATAATGAGAAGGCAGGGTGCCTAAACTGATTGGGAATCTGTGTTCCACATCATGACAGCTGATTAGATCATTTGTACTATGCACTGATGCAAGCTGAGTTGACTGAATGATTTCCATCATGAGCCAGTGCCCTCTTAGTTGACTGGATGATCACTGCTTAGGACTCTTTAAACACAGCTGATTAGGGCTGCTCCCCTCCTCCACGTGGGGTGAAATGGGGCAGTCCGCTGGTCGGTGCCAGCCAGTGAATAAAGACTCCTGAGCTTCTAAAAGTCTGCCTCCGACTCATTTGTGGGATAGGTTTGCTCATCTTGAGACACACCCGTGTTCCTGGGTCCTGTGTCTGGAGCCCTTTCTGGTTCCCAGTCACTGATCACTTCGTGTCTGGGCTTCCAGGCCTGACTGGAGCTCCACCTAAGACACAGGGTGGCCCCCTGTGTAGTCGACACACCTTCCCTGAGTGTCTACCATGTGCAGAGGGAAGAAAAATAGCCTTCCTCTAACTGGGTGCTCCCCTCTCCAAACCCTCAGGACACGATGCCTATCTGTTGATTGTGCTTTCTGCCACTGTCCTTCCGGCCTGTGACCTGGAGGACATGGGCCTTCTGCAACTGCACCCATGCACCTTGGGAATTCATCCTGCCCACAAGGCTGCTGTTAGAGCAGGCCTTTTGATCAAGCTTCTGATTAGCATGGGAAAAAGAGATGCAAAGGAACAGGCCAACTTTAGCTCTGGGCAGACAGGGTCAGACTTTGACAAGGTCATATTGAATGAAGTGGATAAGTTGAATTGGGAAAATTTATGTCAAGGCATTTTGTTGACAGAAGAGAGACCACACAGCTATCTCAGCTGGTGATGAAGACGGCTTGATTATTCTCGACTTGGTAAGGAACATATGGAAAGACAAGAACATGAGCTTCCAGCCTGCCTCCCGCCCCCTTCCACTGCTAGTTCACCATTCCAATGTCTGATTGTGGCTTGGAACTATGATTCCTCACCACATGGTGCTAGGAAGGGTTGATTTTAGTTCTCAGTAATAGAGTTACAATGAGAAGTCATTCCTACCATCGTTCACATTCCCTGCAGCTCAGGTCAGACGTCAGCTGAGTAAGGCCAGCACCATTTGATTAACATCCCAGCAAGTACACCATAAAAGTCAGGACTCCACAGAAAGGCAGGGCAAACACTGCAAGTCAAATGTATCTCAAAACATGAAGAAATCAAGTCAGGGAAACAGCCATGTCCTTATTTTGCAAATTCAGGAAATTTTCTAGTGAGAACTCAACATGCTAGTTTCTTAGAAGAAAACACTGACTTTCAGACACTCTACATAATTCACTACTGTGTAGGGTATTTTAATGGAAAATTAAAAAAAAAAAACAACAACTTTATTACAAGTAATGACAAAGCTGGCCAGAACTGATATCATTTAGCGATATTTATGACACTGTTTTCTTGGAACAGAATATGTAAAATTTCCACTTTCATAGAAGTCAGAACTTGGCTTAGTCTGACCCTATTAGATAACAGCCAATCAAGTGCATATCAAGTAGTAAAACTGATCCATTGTGTTTGAGAGCACAATGGGGTGAGTATACTCTATGAAAAGGAGAAACTCCATTGCTTTTGTTCCTCACAGTAATTATTTAACAAACCCTCCTCCCAAACAGCAACCTTTGCTGTGGTAGCTGGACTCCTACAACCCCAAACGAATGCAAAAGACACTGTCTCTGGCAGGGTGTGTCGCTCACTCCTTGACCAGGAGACAGGAGTCCACACTCACTGACCAGGCCCACCCTGAGCAGCGTGTCTTCGCCCATGAGGAATGCCAAACAGCTGGGGCGTGCGGCAGCTCCAACTGCAACACTGGTTACTCTTTAACGTCTTGGCTCCACCATCACCGTATGGTTCTAAATTGGGCTTAAGTGGACACACCCACATAACATTTCTATCAGTGTGGTTTCTTTACAAACAGGTTGTTTGGCATGTGAGTCATAAAGTCAAATAGGCTTGTCAAGGTGCCAGAAGTTATTTTGGAACAATGTCCTGACAATCTCTATGATCTCTGATTTCCTAAGTTCACAGTGGGACCTTCAGCAGCAGCCTCCAATTTTGTGCCATTTAAGAATCGCTTATTTCTTTCTGTTAGTTTTGGTAACATGAGGCCCAGATTCAGAATCAGTCAACATTTTCAAACAAGGAGGACAAACAGGCAGATAATAAACTCTGTCCACAAAAGGCCAATGGTGGCAGCTGTAGAATGATCACTTTTCCCAAACTGTTCCCTTTCCAAGGGCACCTGCTAGGGCCATCTATAGATCACTGTACGTTGTCAGCAGTGTCTGGCACATGATAAGCACTCAGGAAATACCAACTGAACCTTGAGCAAAACAATTGGCAAAACCGTAAGAATGGGGTAGAGATTATAGCACAGCGGGTTAAGCTACTGATGACATCATTTTAAAAATTATTATTATTATTGTTTTATGATACAGTTCCATAGGCTTTGGGATTTCCTGTCCTACTCCCCAAGTTCTCCCCCTTCCCCCATTGATTTTCCCTCTAGTATTACAATGGTACTGAGGCATCCTATATGAGCACAAGTTCATGGCTCTGGCTGCTCCATTTCCAACCCATCTCCCTACACCTGGGAAAGCAGTGAGAGATGGTCTAACTACTTGGGCCCCTGCCACACACACAGGAGACCCGGACAGAGTTCTAGGCTCTCTGAAGCTCTGGAGGAGTCTCAGTTATTGTGGACATTTGAGAACTGAAAAAGTAGACAGATCTCTCACTTCCTTTTTCCCTCTCCCTCTCCGTAACTTTGCTTTTCAAATATTAAAAAAAAAATTTTGTTGTTGTTGTTATTTGAAAGGCAGAGCTACTGAGAAAGGGAGAGACAGAGATCTCTTCCATTTGCTGGTTCACTTCTTAGATGACCTCAATGGCCAGCACTGGGCCAGACAAAAGTCGGCACCAGGAGCTCCATGGGGTCTCCCACATGGCTGTAGGGGCTCAAACACTGGCCTGTCTTCTGCTGTTTTTTCCAAGGCTGTTAGCAGGGAGCTGGATCAGAAGTGAAGTAGCCAGAGCACAAAGCAATGCCTATAGGGGATGCCAGCATTGCAGGTGGCAGCTTTAGCTACTATGCCACCCACCATGACACCAGTTTCTCAAATAAATCTTAAAAAAATATGTAGGAGTGGGGAAAACTTGTCAACCTCATCCTGCTTAGCCTCCTAATTTTCAGAATGAATAAAGAGAGGTCTAGAGACATTAATCTGCTTTTTGTAAATCACACAAGTTATAGGCAGAGTTGGATTTAGAACTCAGGATTCCTGACCTTAAACCCACTCTACCCAACAGCTCTTTTCTCAGATTCCTTATGTATTTAGGGCTCCAAACACCCAAGAACCTGTGGCCAAAGGTTCAGAACCATCTTAAATTTCCCCATAGCATTCATTATGCTCATATATAGGCATTCCTGTGTCTGCCAATACTAGATGGAAACCTGCCTGGAGTCATTATTGGTAACAAACCAGCTTGACTTTCTCCCTAGCAAATTAATTCTCTTAGGATCCTGTTTCCTTAATCTGGACTGTTTTGTTAAAAGGAAATTAATTAGGACAGAAATAATCCCTATAGGAGAGCAACTAATTGGAATGACTTGTGTTTACATTGTTCTCTATCCTGCTTTGATATCTTGCAATTCTGTGCCTTTAAGAGCCAGCTCATTGACTTGCTTTGCAGATGTTAGCTCAATAGTGCTTGGCTGTGAGAGATGAAGGTGCAGGACCTGCCAGGGACTCCAGTGGCACAGGGTTCCTCTTTGGCTTGGAAGAGGAAGTAGCAGGTAGGAGCATATGAACAGAGGGACCTGGTAGGGACAAGGCCACCTGACTCATCTCTGCCTTCCATGTTGGTTCCAGGCCAGCCTGTACTCCTTAGCTCAGCGCAGCCATAGTTTATTTGAACAGGAGATGGTAAAAATGTACACTTGACCTCAGACACCAAACACTCAAGTCTTCAAAGCACTGAATGGAGACGTCGGCTTGAGTTCACAGACATTCAGGAGGAGCCCATACACAGCACAGGGCAGGAAGAATCCTAATCAAAGATCTACTTGATGTGGCAGGGACAAAGCGTTTTTAAGAATGCTGAGAGCTGGGTGGGGATCTTAGGTATGTGCCGCCAGAGGCCGCCAACCCTCCTTGCCTCATGCCCCCAACACTCAGGCCCAATGTCAGCCAGTGACATTACCTGCCTTGGCTGGTTGACTTTAGCTCCGGAAGACAGCAATAATCGGATCACATCCAAGTAACCACCTTGGGCGGCAAGGAACAGGGCCGTGGCTCCATCCTGAGAGACAAGAGAATGTGAAAAAGATCATCTTTCATAATTATTCTAAAAGACAGATTACAAAATTACACATGCTTAATATAATTTGTCTCAGGTTTTCATTCTTTCGTCAATGAAGAATCAGGTGTTAGGTGAGCAAGCACTATCTTGTATGCTTTTATGAATCAGATGTAAATGGTATTCTAATTAGATTTTTTTCCTATGCTTTTCTCTTTCTCATTAAATTGTGTTTCTCCAACATGACGTTTCTGCAGGCATTAAGATTCAGAAACTTGCAGAAAAAAAAGTTCTGGAAAGAACATGCATGAGGTTTCTCCTTGCCAGGGTCTCAGACATCAGGACCCATAGATACACAAACCAATCATGTGCAAAGCACAAAACATTGCTTCATTTCCAATGTTCTTTAGTTTCTCTCCCTATCCTGCCCCCTGGCAAAGTGAATGTCCGTATCATCCAGACATTTGGCTTTGCTTGGGAACAAGTCCCTTGGTTATTTGAGCAATGCACCTGCTGGCCAGCAGCTTGCATTCTCCCTGAGGCACACTTGGGCCGGGCGAGCATTGCTAGTTTGGGACCGCAGTGGAACACCTGAGCACGCTGCAATGGAAAACACCCTGGGAATGCTGCTGATTAGCTCACTGCCGCTGGAAGGCTAACCGCAAGCTGCCACACACAGCATCTTTTCTTGCAGGTCTAAGGGAGTGGGTCACATGGAGCGGACTGGATTTCCAGTGGGCGTTGGCTGAGCTTCCAGACGGCCCTCAAGGCAATCATTAAAAATTAATCACCCCGTACAGATTCCTGAGCAGCTGCTTGATAGGGGAGTAAAATAGCAGCTGCTCCTTAATATGTGGTTTAACGAGCTTCTGCCAAGCCCTTAGTAGCTAACTTGGGAACTACCTGAAACGCACTGTAGAGTTGAAATAAAAATGGAGTAAACACGGCTCAGCAATAACTGCAATACTTTTCGCTGTTGTAACTTCTGCTTTGCTTGCTTGGCTAAGAAACCGTATGAGCTCGCAGGCCTAACAGGCTACATGACCTTTAGCACTGAAGGCTCTGAATCCCCATGAATCAAGGCCCCAGCCTAATTAACCCACAGACAACTCCAAGGCAGAGTCTGGTTATCTTATAGGCGGCTTCAAGGCTGGAGTCTGGTTACCTTAATTACTGGACCAGAGAAGAGCCAGGATGGGCTGCCTAGCCGAGATAGGCAGGGAATGTGTGGCCTTCCCTCCCTCAGCTTACAAGCTATCGTAAATTGCCCCCTTCAGAGCTGTTATATACTGCCTCTATAAAAATTTTCTAAATGTACTGCTAGAGGCCACACTCCAGCAGGGGCTGTCGGTCCTGGCTGGTTGTCTTGCCTCTCATTTATTTTTAAATTTTAAAAAAAAATTTATTTATTTTTTATTTTTTAAAAAAGATTTATTTTATTTTTATTGCAAAGTCAGATATACAGAGAGGAGGAGAGACAGAAAGAAATATCTTCTGTCCGCTGATTCACTCCCCAAGTGACCACAACGGCAGGTGCTGAGCCAATCCGAAGCCAGGAGCCAGGAGCCCGGAGCTATTCGGGGTCTCCCACATTGGTGCCCAGGCTTTGGGCTGTCCTTGACTGCTTTCCCAGGGCACAAGCAGGGAGCTGGGTGGGAAGTGGGGCCACCTATTTTAGAACCGGATTATGGGATCCTGGTACGTTCAAGGCGAGGACTTTGGCTGCTAGGCCACGACACCGGGCCCCTTTTCTCTCATTTATAATAAAACTTTGTTGTGACTGTCACTGGTGAATGTAACATTCTGTTTCAGTGGTCAAATGGATGCTCCATGACTAAGCACGTACTGAGTTTTCCATGAAGTATGAGAAGTTTCAGTTTCTAGGAGTTTTCTTTGCCCTCCGCATACTTCAGTGGTTTATCATGGAAACATCTGTACTGTTTGAATAAAGCTCTTCACATAAGATGAAAAAGTTCAGATGCGGAAATGGAGTCATTTTGATCAGGGAGAAATCGCTATGGGTAGAGGTAGGGTTCTCTTCAAACCCTACATTCATGTTATTTTTTCCTTTAAGGGTTTATTTTATTTGAAAGTTAGAGTTAACGAGAGAGATTTTTTATCTACTGGGTCATTCCCCAGATGGCTGCAACAGCCCACCTGAGACAGGCCAAATCTAAGAGCCAGGATTTGTTTGGATCTTCTACATGAGTGGCAGGTGCCCAAAGACTTGGGCCAGCTTCTAGTGCTTTCCTAGGCCATTAGCAGGGAGCTGGCTTTCAAGGAGAGCAGAAGGAACATGAACTGGTACCTGTATGGGATGCTGGTATGACAGGTGGTGGCTTAACTTGCTATGCCACAATGCTGGCCCCCAAAACTTTACATTTCTAAGCTAAGTCTTGGGGAGAGTGTTATCTAATATGAACAAATTCTATATCCACAATTTGTGTTGCTGATGACTGATACGCATGAGTATTGAAATCAGACTCATCCTATTCAATGTACACACACAGGTATACTGCCAGATACACCCTACCTATATCCAAGTATAGCCGAAGAAATGCCCAGAACTTTAGAGCCATGTTCCCTATACTTGGCCTCACATCAGAACCACCTGTAGCCCAAGCTGTGTCCTCAGAGACTCTGGCTTGGATGGTCTGAGGTAGAACTGGGAACTGGGAGTTTCTAAAGCTCCCAGGTATTTCTACTGGACAGAGTTGAGTTTTAGTCTTGGGTCCTTATTGGTTCATCCAGCATTCCACTGGTAATGCTGCAGGCTCAAAGACTTTGAAGTTCCAGGTAAGAGTAAGCTTGGTTGCTATGGCTACAAAGAGGCCTAGGATTTGTTAATTTTTCTTCTTCTTCTTTTTTTTTTTTAGATTTATTTGTTTTTATTGAAAAAGAAAGATTTACAGTGAGAAAGATCTTCCATCTGCTGGTTCACTCCCCAAATGGTCACAATGGCTGGAGCTGAGTGGATCAGGAGCTAGGAGCTTCTTCTTGGTCTCCCCTGTGGATGCAAGGGCCCAGGGTTTTAAGCCATACTCTACTGGTTCCCATGCCAAAAGCTGGGAGCTGGATGGGAAGTGGAGCAGCCAGGACACGAACCGGTGCCTATATGGGATCCTGGTGCTTGGAGGTGGAAGATTAGCCAATTGAGCCATTGTATTGGCCCAATTTATTAGAGTTTAACCAGGTAACTGTGAAGAGGGTGTTAAAATCAGAAAGTTCACACCTACACAGCTCATTACACATCCATGGGTGTGTTGTGCCCTAGGCAGAAGTGTTCGATATTTAGTTGTAGGATAGCCTAACATCTGGTTCCTAGACAACGTCTTCCTCTCTGCCTAATGGAATTCTGGCAAATTATTTCATTTCCTATATATATTTTTTCCTACAAAATCAGAATAACACTTGCCATATATCCTATGGAATTATAGTGACAATCAAAAGTGTCTTGGTTATATGCAAATTGCCACTTAGCTACAAATAGATAGCAATGGATGTTTTTCAAAATCAGTGTGTATATGTTTTTCACAGATCTTCATCCATTCAATCTTCTTTTTTCTTCTCCACCAATACCTTGATTTCTCTACTTTGTATCTTTTTTCACAAATAGAATATATTTTGACTTTGATGTTTTAGCTTCCGTGGTTTGTCATGGCTTCAGAACTACATATCATATGATTTTTAAATGTTAATGTCACCGATACTTGAAGTGTCTCAGTGTCCAATAGATTCAAAAAGGAGAATAAAGATGGATCAATAAGATGATGGGGTTTCCATTCAGAAAAAGCTCATCTAGTCTATTATATCTTTTCCCCTTGATGTCTCTGATTAAAATCCCACCATTCAGCCAGCTTTTTGAAGCTGGCATTTCTGGTGTTCAAACTTAGACCTCAGTGTTATGTGAATGAGCAGGTGCCCATGCAGTGCCCTCCTGAAATGCACTCACATAAAGTTGGTCATGAATATTGGCTCCATGCTTCAACAAGGTCTCCACCACCTGCATGTGCCCGTACTGACTGGCAGCCAACAGGGCTGTGCCCCCATCCTGTGGACAGATAAAACAGAAACAGACACAATGCTGGTTCTTATTTTACCAACGTGACCCTCCTCAACAGAATGCTTGGAGAGAATTTTCCTGAAGATCCTAAGAAACTCACTTAGTTTTGAGCATCTCCTTTTCTTTCTTTAGTATCATGATGTAGTTTCTTTTCAGAAATATTATGTTGCATTTTTGGATGACTTACTAGAGGTAAATTTTAGTTACCTGACCAAGTTCTTAAAATTGATTTAGAAATTTCCCATGATAACTGCTTAATCATCTATTTGCCTCTCAGTATGGGAAATACAGAACAAAAAGTCTTGTCATTTCTGCCTGGGAATGAACAGAAGGCCCCACCTCCTGCACTCCGATGTCCTGATGACAAATACTGGCTTTTCCTTGGGGTGCTACCCACTGACAGCCTCTAGGGTTAAGGAGCTTTGGTAGAGTGACCCTGTGGGATATCATTGCTCTCATGAGAAGATTAGAAGACTTTAGCATATTCCAGGTGCTTCTCACTCTCCTAGCCAGTGTTTACCTCTGAACGTGTCCCAGTTTTTCCAGGTTTCTTACATGATGGGCCCTAATATGAAACAGAGCATTGTAAAGTGGATGTACTCTCATGTGTAATGGGACATTTCGTCCACTCTACTTTTGCGTCTGCTCCCTGCATTAGAATGAGCTTTTATGTCAACCACATCACACCACATTCTGACTCACTGAGTCTGTGGTCAACCCAAACCTTCAAGCGCTGAGCTAGGACATGATCTTTTCCCATCTAGTGTCGTTGAGTTGCCTGCCTCTCAAATGGATGTAGATATTTAAGCTAAATATAAATAATTTTAGAACATGTAATCCGGTTTACAAATATGAATCACACATATGAAAGAACTTCAAAAGGTTTGTGGAAAAATGACATTAAAAGTTTTTATTTTATTTTGAAGCAAAAAGCTTTGAAATTTCATGAAGTTTTCTCAAAATACTTGTTTTTCATGAACTTTTGGAAGAGTCCAGATTTCCATATTTGGACATAGAGAGTTTGTTCAAAAAACACCTGCCTTTGGGACTGGTGTTGGAACCAGTGGGTAAGCTGCAGGTCAGGATGCCTGCATCTCTCACCACAGTGCTGGGTTCAAGCTTAGGTTTCAGTCTTCGTTACATTTTCCGGGTAATGTGAACCCACTCACAGGAGAGACCTGGATTGAGCTCCCACTCCCGGCTCTGGCCTTGCTCAGCTGATTATGAAACCCAAGTTCTCCCAGCATCTTATCCAGAATCCTATTTGCTAGGTTAACTGCCTGGCCATGTATTGAGATTTATGAAAACAAATGAAACAATCTGTTGAAACAACATCAGTTTATCTGACAGGATCATTTGAACATTCAAAGTGTCCTGGAGTTCTTTTCCTTGCTTGGGAAGCTCTGGGACACCTGCAGTTGACCTAATGGAAACAAGGTTGTCTCAGGTTGCACGGACTGACTCACATACAAAGACTATCTGCCAGTATTAACTGGTTAGCCAAGGAAAGACTGAGGCAGCCACATGGTCATGATCATCCCGACTTAGTTCAAACAGTTGAGATTTAGGTCTCTAGAACTTTATTGTTTTGAGCTGCACTGATTTCATAATGAAAAATAAAACAATACAAATGCCACACATATATTTTATATGAGTATATGTTATATTCAATAGGTCTGGAGGTATAAACCAACTTTGCATCAGGTTTCAGAAAAGTCAAAGACTCTGTGTGAGCCCCAAGCCTGTTTAATAGTTAGCACTTTAACTGGAAACTCCCTTGATATGTGAACATCTCTTATTATGACATAAAAAAGCCTAAAAGTTTCCAACATGGGCAGATTTTCAGCCATTTCTTATTACAAAATTAGGCCAGGAATGAGATATTTATTACAAAAACATATGGCAGTTCAAATTCTTCTACTACAAAACATTATGTAAAACCATATTGTGAAAACAAAACTGATATTTTGTAGATAACATTTCTTATCTGTAAGCCATACATGAAAATGAATAACTTAAAAGAGTTCATCTACTTGTTTCAAAGGCATCGTAATATAGTGACAGAGAGAGGGAGAGAGAGAAAAACAGAGTTTCCATCCTGTTGGTTCACTCTCCAAATGACCACAACGGCTAGAGCTGTCCCAGGAGCCTGGAAACCCCTCCAAACTCTCCCCCGTGGGTGCCAGGGGTGCTTGAGCCATCACCTGCTGTGTTCCCAGGCACATTAACAGGAAGCTGGATAGGAAGTGGAGCAGCTGGGACTCAAACTGGTACTCATTTAGGATGCCAGTGTCAATGCCAGCCCCCTGAATCATTTTATAAAAGAAGAACCATAACTCCTCACTCACTTTATGAACTGTTAATTATGTCATACAGCTCTCTGACCGTAGCGCATGTAAGGAAGCTATCTGCCACAGTTCCCTCTTCAGCAATCCCTTGGGCTTACGAGGATCAGACTAATACTTCCAGCAATTCCTAGCATAGGATCTGAATTCCTTTTGAGGTAAAACAAGCACATAAAAACAGAAAAACTTAGAAAGCCATCTGCCTTCCTGGTTACAAAACTTAGAGTTTCTGAGTAGGAAGTCTCTAGTGAAAGAGTCTTAATCCTTACAAAAGTTTCCAATGGTGGGTCTAGAGTAAACATTTGATGCTTTGAATAGAATCCCAGTGCTTACTCCTGAACTGCCATAGTTCAGCAGGCTGTGACAGCCACTTCCTTAGGCCTGAGAATCCCCTAGACAGAGTAACAGAAATTCTTACTACAGGGGAAGAGAAAACCACCATCCCTGGTGGCTGAAATTCTTCAGCAGGGTATGAAATCAAGAACATTCTCTTACTTTGGTCCTGAATTCAGTGGATGCTCCAAATCCAAAGAGAAATCTCACAACATCGTTATGGCCTTGCTGGGCAGCAAAGAACAGGGCAGTTGTACCTGACTGGGAGAGACAGAGAGAAAGGCTGGCTTTAGAAGGCATTAGGTTACATTCCACTTAATACACACATCTGCAAAGAAAACAAAACCATATCCTCACACAGCCACCTTCCAGTGTAGGAAGGGTTTGCATTGGAATTGATACTATTCCTTGGTTAGGGGAGTGATATGAAGAAAATAAAGCTTTATTCTTGGTGTAGCGGGATGAATGTGGGCTCCCCAAAGGACACATCTGCAAGTTTATTCATAGAACTTGTGAATATGATCTTATTGGGCAAAATATATGATTAAGTTAAAGGTTTGGGGAGAAGAGTGGCTATATGGGTGGGCCCTAAATCTGGAGATGAATGTAAGAGTGAAGCCTGTGGAAGTGGGAAGTGGGGCAGCAGTGAGGCCCAGCATGCGGGTGGAATATATATATACTCTTGGGGTTCAATAAATCTGAGTGATTCCAAGGCCAGTGAGATGATTTTAATTTCTAGTCCAAGGGGCAACCTCTTGCCATACGTAAGAAGAGCCCTGAACGAAACAATCATGGGATTTTTATAGTAAGAGAATCAAAAGCTACGTGACAGTGAGCAAGTACATGATTAGGGGCTAACAGTGACACAAAACAGAAAGCATGCAACAGGAATTCACAGTATAGGCTAGGGGGTCCTGATCATATCACTTCAATGCACACAGTAATAAAACAGCATGCCTTGAAGGTAGCTGTCTTTCCAAAAACTCCAAGATTATCCCTGTCTCTTGTCTGTCTCCTGGTCTTTCAGGAAACAAGAGCTTTTCTCGTAACAGGACGCAGGCGTCTCTTTGGAGATTCCAGACTTCCAGGAGTACCGTCACCTTTACAATTATCCCTTTCACTATCTCGGTTCTAACAGGAGCCTTTAGCTCATGCTACGCCCAGGGGCACAGGTGCCATGGCCAGCCATGGAGACTTCCTATCTGTAGATGCCTCTTCCACTGCTCTCGACAGGGGAGCATGATGGGTACCAGAAATCTTACAGCATACACAAGATCTGGATGAGGAAACTTGCCTTAGTAGTAAAACTCACCTTAACACACTTTACACTTCAGGGACTCGCAAGGTTCCTTTCCAGGAATTGTTTGTTTATTGAGAAAAAGACTTTTTACAATAAGATTTCTTGACACATTGATTATAAAAACCATACTGATGGCAGTTTTAGGCAATTTTGAAGCATATATACTTCTAACCATTACTTACGTTAAGGCAGTGATCTACAGACAATAGGAGCTAGATGTTAGTGAGTTAAGGTCTTCAGCTGTGCTCTCACTACTGAAACCCAGGGCTTCCTGCCAATTACACTTGCAATTCCTAAGCTTCAAGATTGTAATCCGCTAATATTGCAATTCTCTAAGGTAATGTTTTTTTTTCAGCACTGTTAACTTCCACTCTGGAAGCATGCTCCGCGCATTGAGACAGTCAACCAAAGCTAACATCAGCAGGGGCATCTTTGGGAAACACATGTTTTGATTTTGTCAAATGAATTAATAGTGGACCAAGAGTAAGCCTGATTGAAGACTAAGTTTCAGAGCACAGGAAGACACTCTTACTGAAGCAGGTTGGGGTTTTTCAGTGAGTTCTATTGCACAGACTGGCACAGTCCCAAAAAATCTGGTATACTACCCAAAGTTTACTTAGCCTCAGCATTTCTGCCAAATAGCTCATGTCTAAATGGAGTACACTTTGCTAAAAATTCTCAAAGGCTTCCATTCTTAAAGCAAAAGAGTTATCACCTTCAAGCTTAGTTGAGCCACTGGAACCAGATTAAAATAAAACCATAAAAATCATTGTTGGCTGGAAATAAAATATTTCTCTTTTCTCCGCACTGCTTTGCTCAGCTGTTCTAAACAGATACTTGTGCATGTTGAACCTGCCTTTCAGAATAAAGTGCTGTGAGCAAGCATGTCTGGAACCATATTTTCTTTAAAGCTGTAACAAACAAAGGCTTTAAAGCAGCAAGGAAAAATAAAACTGTTAGGGTGATTTTAAGCTATAATACTAAGCATTCTCATTTCAGGTTCAAACACTCTCACATTTTCATTTCAAAAGAAATGGAGTGCAGAAGTGAATATGTCCTACAACGATTGAGTGCTATGGAAGTATCTGAAATGAACTGGTGAGAAGGTTGATTGGATTTGATTAGCTGTCTCACTCAACTGCTAATTTCCTTAGACCAGGCTTGTTGAGCAAGGGTGGTGGGGATCCAGGCGCCAATCAACTGTCAGTCTAGCATCACTCACAATTCATAGCTTCTCTGACATAGTTATTAGACCTGTGACAGCTTAATTTGCTCCAGGTTGGTGGTCCACATGGGAAGAGTAGGGTGTACTGGTTCTGGGTTGGTGGTCCAGACGAGAAGAATAGAGTGTATTGGTTCTATGAAAGGTTTGGCTGATGAATTAACTTTATCCAACAGCTGTGCCAGGACAGGACTGGATCTGGGAAAACCAAGCATCCCAGGCTGGCCTGGGGCTTTCCAAAGATGTTTACCACAGGTCAGGGTGAGCTAAGAGGTCAGACTCTGTCTAGGAATGACCTGAGCACGTGTGTCCAGGAAGGACAGGCCATCAGATCCTGGGTTGCCCTGCAAAGATATGAGGTCCCTTCAGATTTATCCAAGAGTATGTTACAATGCCCTAGCTCCTTATGGCTTCCCTAGGTTGGACCAAGAATGGACAGTCTGGCCAGACGAAAGCTCCCTTCGTTCATGATTGCAACTGAGTGAAGCATGGAACAGTCTCATGTATTAGCCCAGTGTTCACCCACACTGCCACTCAGAGAAGTGTCTGGAAAATGTGGTTGAGTGAGTATAGTTGAGAAGTCCCAGAAGGTGGGCCTCATTACCAGTAAGTTAGTGGTTCTAACCTTCTAAAACCATATCTTGTGAAAATTCATTAAATCCAGGAGCACCTCATAGCAAAGAAGAAAGAATGATTTCAGTTTGAGACCAAGGATTTTTGTGTGTGTTTAAGGACTAAAGGTAAGACATCTGGTGACTGCAGATGTACCCAATGATGCCCCACCCAAGGCACAGAATTTCAAGCACAGAACACGCCCTTGTGGACTTTAATGGAAAGCAATGAAGACTCTTGTCTTCTTTACTAGTTCACTGTTTAACAAACATCCAATTCTCAGGCCATTTTTATTCACTTACAAACCTGACCCACCTCTCTCTGGAGGTTGATGTCTGCTCCTTGCAGAACCAGTTCCTTCACGCAGTCTATGTGGCCAGCATAGGAGGCGACCATGAGGAGGGTGGTGCCGTGCTGCATGGAGAGAGATAATGAACAGTTAGGCCACTGTTACGTTACAGAGAGGGGTCCTGGAATGGAGACAACACAGATGCCAGCTCCACTCAGAACATGATTGCGTACAAATCTCCCTGTTGTCAAAAAAGTGCTTCATTGATCATCTTAGGTGCAGATGCCATGGGAGAACAAAGTGACAAACTGCTGAGGCTGGAATTTCACAGGTCAGGGTGAGCTGAGACAGAGTCCAAAACAGCCACAAGTATTGCAACAGTCATGTAACATCTCACTTTATGGTTCCTATTAGATGATTCCTGAGCCACAACCCTGCCATTAATGCCAATGCTGGTTTTCTGTGGTTAGAAGGCTTTGCCTTCAGAGAGATCTGGGCAAAGATGAAAGGGGAGTCGGGGGCCAAAGGGCTAAATCTTCCTTTGTCACCCACTGTGGAACCTGTGGTGAGCTGCTAATGGTACCAGGGAGCCATTTACTTTGTCCTGAAAATCAGTGGAAATGATGATAGTTAAGGTGTCTTTCAGCTTTAAGATTCAAGGACTTGAAGTATACAGTGGATATGGACTCTTCCAATTAAAACTGGCAATTGAGGGCCTGGTGTGGTAGCCTAGTGGCTAAAAGTCCTCGCCTTGCATGAGCTGGGATCCCATATAGACACTGGTTCTAATCCTGGGGGTCCTGTTTCCCTTCCGGCTCCCTGCTTGTGGCTTGGGAAAGCAGTCGAGGATGGCCCAAAGCCTTGGGACCCTGCACCCACATGGGAGACCCAGAAGAGGTTCTGGGCTCCTGGTTTTGGATTGGCTCAGTTCTGGCTGTTGTGGTCACTTGGGGAGTGAATCAGCAGATGGAAGCTCTTCCTCTCTGTCTCTCTTTTCTGTATAACTGACTTTCCAATAAAAATAAATCTTTAAAAAAAAAAGTTGGCTATTGAAGTTTAATTTAGCCATCTACCTCTCAGGAGTGGATGACAAGGGAGCCAAATGGATCTGCAAATGAGCAGGGCTCAGCAGGTACACGGTGGCTAAGGCAATCTTGCAGGTTTTGGGATCTGTCTGTGGGATTTCACAGGAAGGTAGTTTAGCTGGATGGTCAGACAGGATCATCTTGGGCATGTTCTGTAACCCTCCAGGTTTCACTCTCTTCCTATGTAGAATGGGGCATAAAAAAAGTATCCGTCTGAGTGAACTAGTGAATAAGCTAATCCAAGGAATGTAATTAATGGTGATTTGTTCAGTAACTATTAAATTAATTTGCCAGTAGTTCAATCAATGTTATTTTATCATCTGATTTTTGGCTGACTTCTGCGAATGATCATGCTAGTTTTGGGAAGAGTCTTGTTCACTTGACACAAAAATACAGATAGAGTCAAGAAAAGCGAACATTTTACAGCAGTGCTCCATGAAACTTGTATGTGAGCATACTTCATATTTGGATGTAAGCCCTTTACACAAGCTGTGCCACCCATTATTTGGCTGAAGTTCTCTGCATTCCCTTCACTGGAGTGCAGAATGTACTGGCACCTTGGTCTTGGGTTTTCCAGCCTTCAGAACTCTGAGCAATACACTTCTACACTTCTGTGGTTTATAAACTTCCCAGTCTAGGGTATTTTGTTTGTAGCAACCCGGCTGGGCAAAAACCAAAGTCACTGGACAAACTATGATGACATCCTTTAATACGGAAGAGTGCCATGTTCATTCAGTGGTTACCCTGGTCTCAAAAGCCAATTGTGAGCCAGAGAAACTACAAAGTACTTAGCTTCGAGAATCTTAAACTCATCTGTTTTAAGAAAGATGAATGAAAGAAAAATACTTCATTGCAGACTGTATTTCAATTCTATATCATGGCCAACTGAGAAAATGAGGGATTGAAAGCCAGGAGAACCAGCTTAGAGAAATGTAACATTTAGCCACATGAAAATGTTTCCACCGTGCTTAAAAGCTGTTAGAATGGCTGATTTTAGTTTTCTAAAGATCAAAGTTATTTCATGGAATGACATTAAAATGCATCTTTTTCAAAAAACTGATTTTGAATTGGACATACTTATTTACATAGTACAAAACAGCAACAAAAAGACTTTTGTTAATACATCTAAACAGGCTAAATGACCCTTGTCAGTGTACATCCTTGCGTCAAAAAGATAAGCAAAGTAAAAAATGTAAACATTATGTAAAGACAGGAAGTGAAGATGGAGTGTGGGCAAACCCAAGCTTTGGTGTATAGTGGGTGGTCCAGAGAAGAACTGTCCCTTGCAGAGCTGCATGTTGGCAGGCTTTGATGATGTTCCTCCTTGAGGTTAGGAACAATCCATGTTACAGCCCAGGTGTTCTCTCCTTGCATCTTGAGGTCTCCCATAGCTTCTGAGGGGGATCCTGGGGCTTGGCCTCCTAAGGGAGAGACACCAGTGCAGGCCTGGAGGTTGGTCACCAGCATTTGGAAGTCATCCTGGAACTGGCTTCTGTTCTCAGTTGCACAAGGAGGAGACGAGGGCTCAGCTAGTTGTGTACCTGGGGGAGGAAAGGCTGGCTGCACTGCTCCCTAACACTTCCGGGCAGTCTGACCCACTAAACTCAGGGGCGCTTTCAAAACGCACAAGATGTCTGAAGTGGTCATTGTCTGGAATTGTCCCTTCAGCTTATGGCACCATCTCTTCAGAATGCTCCTGATGAAATGACTTCATTTTAAGTGAGCAGGGGTAACCTAAAAGCCTACTAGTGTTCACTCAGGGAAACAAAACTTTTTTGTCAGATAGTTACTGGTGGCTCAGCAGATACACACAGCATGTTCTGAAGGGACAGAGTGTGGCACAGATGACCTCTGATGTGGAACAGGTCCGAAAAGGCCAAGAGGGATTGATATTGTAGTGTAGTATTGTGGGTTAAGCCCCTTGTGACCAGCACTTGATATCCGAATGCTGGGTCAAGTCCCCACTGCTCCACTTTCCATGCAGCTCCATGCTGATGCACGTGGGAAGGCAGCAGAAGTCCCTGGGCCCCTGTTACCCACAGGAGAGACTCAGATGGAGATCCTGGCTTTTGTTTGGCTCAGCCCTGGCCATTGTGACCGTTTAGGGAATGAACCAAGGGATGGAAGGAAACTCTCTATATCTTTCAAATAAATCTTTAAAGGAAAAAGCAAAGCTGCTTGCGTGTGTGTGGTGTGTGGCCCTGGGAAGCTACAAGCCAGCAGGAAGTCAGCAGTGTCTGAAAAAGGGGTGACTTCAAGAACAAGTAGTCATCAGAGTGGTCAGTGGGGGAGACTGCAATGCAATCTGGCCTTGTGAAGTGGCTCACCAGAAAGGTCAGCTCACAGATGCCCCAGCCCCTTGTCAGTCTGGGTTCTGTCAGGGAGAAGCTGGTGCATATACACCCTGGACACTGGAACAAAGTTCCATAAAGAGATTACTGATACCACTGTGGCCCAGAGATTAGGGAACTGCAAAGAACAGTGTAGTGCTGGGATCCAGGAATGACAGGGCTCTGCGATGCACAGGCAGGCCTGAAGGTTCAGGGGAAGGCAGTGGCTCCTAGGAAGCAGATTCCACTACCGGAAGACCAGGATGGCAACATTGGCCCCTCTCTCCCCACCATCTGATTGCAGCCTATGCTCCTAATGGCTGCACCCTGGAGGGCTGGAGGTCAGAGGGAAGCAAGGCCACAGGGCCATTTCATGTTGTTCAGACTTTGGGGTGTGGAAGCAGATGGGGAGGGAGGCAGAGTGGATCTGGCAGTGTGACTGGAAGTGATCCTGTTTCGATGCCCTACTGGGTCACCTGCAGCAAACCGCTACTCTGCTTTTTTTCCTCATCCAAGGACCTCCTTCGCTCCAGGGTGGTGCTGAAGTCCTGCTGGGCACAAAGAAACCATGGGCTCCAGCTGGAGAGGAGCCGGGGTTCTGGAGCCTGCCAGCAGCAGCAACATCTATTTTTAGTCCTCCTTCTAATTGCCAATTAGTATCTGTGTCTGCAAAAGGCCATGAAAAGAACAAGAAACTGGGAGGAAGCTTCCTCAGTTTTCTCATTCTTTGTAGAAAAAACAGACCGCCTACATCCACAGCAGCCCACGTGTGTTCTAGATCATCTTCATCTTTCCATGGAGGGGGAGGTTTGAATTCGTCTACTGGACAGGCTCCTGTCCTTGGCACCTGCCACTTCTGACACCTAGGGACGTGACCATGCCCTGACAGTGGCAACCCTCTGTCTCTTGTGTGAAACTGTTTCCTTCCCCACCACAAAACCCTGGATTGACAAGTGAGCAATTGAGCCTGGCAAAGGAAATGACAGCAAGGGCCCTGTCGCCACTCCAGGGGGTGTGGGGTGGGGACAAAGTGCCAAGGGCATGCATTTATCACATCCATGTGCTTACACTGTCTCTGCAGTCCACATCCACCCGGCCGCTGTTCAGCAGCAGTTTCAGCAGAGCCAGGTTTCCTCTCCGTGCTGCCCAGAAGGCGGCGTTGGCCAGCGGAGTTTCCTTCTGCAAAGAGCCAAACGGGACAGGAGCTTAGACTCAGCGACACCGCTTCCACACCAAGGGGAGGCTTTCCAGATGTGGTCCCCTGCTGCTCCTCTGAGCAGAGGGGACTGTCAGGTGCTTGGGGATGAGAACTCTGCCACCCAGCATTGGCGCCATAGGTTGTTAGGCAGAGTGGTGTTACGACAATACAACGCTTTTGACTCTCCTTTTTCCCATCAATGTCTTCACTTTCCTGCCTCAGGCCACATCATTCTACAACCTCGTATGGACCCTCCATCCCAGTGCTGAGTCCTTTTACAGCTGTGAAGTTAAAGCTGTAACCACAGTGACAGTCTCCATAGCGGATCCTGGTGCTTGCAAGGTGAGGATTTAGCCACTGACCAACACCTTTTCTTTTCTCTGTAGCAAATTGGGTTGGGTTTGCAGAAGACAGCCCATAATAGGGAGGGGGTTTGGCTTGGGGACCAGATACCTCTGGATCTGGTTGCTTTGGGAAGGTGACCTGATCCTTGGCAGTCTTGGTTTCCTTTGGCTTGGCACAGGACTACCTGGAAGTGTAAGCAAGAACTAAATGATGTACAGTCATTGCCTAACATGGTATTCTACAGAACTGTAAATGCTTTAATTGCCTACAGTCCAGTGATTATTGAAAAATCAAAATCATCTCTCTCTCAATCAGGTCCTTGTGTTGGCAAGATGGACAAGTGCCGTGGCCTCCGCACAGCCAGGAAGCTGTGAAGCCATCAGCAGGTCCAGAAGTGGCACGATAAGCAGTACAAGAAGATGTACCTGGGCACAGCCCTCAAGGCCAACACATTTGGGGGCGCCTCCCACGCCAAGGGGATCGTGCTAGAGAAAGTGGGAGTGAAGCCAAGCAACCCAGCCCAGCCATCAGGAAGTGTGTCCAGGTGCAGCAGATCAAAAACAGCAAGAAGATTCTGGCCTTCATGCCCAACAGAAGCTGCCTGAACTTCATTGATGAAAATGACGAATTTCTGATGGCTGGATTTGGTTGAAAAGGGCATGCCACCATGAGTGACATTCCTGGAGTCTGCTTGGAGGCGGTCAGTCAAAGCAGCAAAGGCTTCTCTCTTGGACTTGTACAAAGGCAAGAAACAGAGACCAAGATCATAAATATTGATATCAGAAGTATAGTAGCAAATTTTCATATTCACAAAAAACAGGATGAACAGGCAAAATTAAATCCAGCCTATTAGTATCAATAAGGGATTGTGTTAATCTCAGGAAGTTAATAACATTGACTTTGTTTAATGAAAGCACATGATTTGCTGGCTTCTTTTTTTAAAAAAGATTTATTTATTTTTATTGGTAAGGAAGATCAGATTTATGGAGAAAAAGAGAAACAGACTCATCTTCCAACCACTGGATTACTTTCCAAATGGCTGTAATGGCTAGAGCTGAGCCGGTATGAAGCTAGGAGTTTCTTTCGGGTCTCCCACAAAGGTGCAGAGTCCCAAGGCTTTGGGCCATCCTCTTCTGCTTTCTCAGCCATAAGCCAAGAACTGGACAGGAACCTATATGGGATCCTGGCATTTGCAAGGTGAGGATTTATCCATTGAGCCATTGCATCAAGGCCTTTGGTGGCTTTCAAACACAGAGCTGACCCACAGGCCTTTTTCCTATTGTCTTTCGAGTACCTGTAGGTTGACAAAGTAGTTCTCCATGATCTGCAGTTTCACTTGATTTCAATTATTTGCAGTCAGCTACCATCCAAAAACACTACACAGAAAATTCTAGAAAGAAGTAATTTCTAAGATTCCAACAGTGTGCGGTCTCAGCAGCATGATGAAATCTCATGCCATCCCCACGTAAGCCTGCCTGAGATGCATATCATCCTTTACACAGGCATCTCTACAGCATACACCATCTGCCCCCAGGTCTCATAGGAGTTGTCTCATAGAAGTTTGTAGAAGTATGGCAGTGCTGTGTTCCAAGAATTCTTATTTTATGGCCCCTTATTTGAGAGTGGGTTCCTGTCCTGCATCAAATACATAAAATACCAGCAATTTCTACTATTCAACAAAGCCCTCTAGAATGGAAGCACTGTGATAGTAGAGTGACATTAACATGAGGAAAAGCTGCCTTACCATCACTTCGCTCAGTAACTAACAACTCAAAAGTTACACCCATCTCAGTACAAATACAGGAAGTGCTGGGTGTGAACACTATGGTTGCAATCCAGCTAGAAATGGAAAAATTTACCCCTTCAGGGAAGGCAGATGGTTCATCTGGAATTGGAGGTGATTCTTTTCTCCAAAATGAGCCAGAAAGCTCTTTGAGCCTGTTTATGGCTTAGCAATCCTGCCTTGGCTGTTTTCCCATCCAGGTCTGCACATGAACACCAGTTGAAATAACATCCTTGTACCAACAGTGCTATGTGGTGCTGTTCGGACTGGCAGCCTCTAGCACCGAATGAACCCAGTCTCTGGTGTTTTGCCACTGCAGCACAGACAGACAAATGTACAAGCTTTGTGAAGAGCTGTCATTTCATTTTTCTTTCAAGAGCCTGATGTACTGACAGGTGGAGGCATCTGGGGGCAGGGAGAGCTGAGTTCAGGTCCTGACCCTACCACTTCCCAGCTCAGGTCTCTAAGTAACTTCTGTTGCCTACGGTCAAACAGCGATGCTAATTAGAACCTCTGCTATGTGTTGTTGGAGGATTCATTGAGACAATAGGCATAAACGCACTTAGGGTTGCTACACGCGCAGAGCCCTCCCAGCTCTGTGCAGCAAGTGTCCAGGTGACTATTTACTTGGTGACTAACGTGAGGCATTGCCCAGGGACCAAGGCTAGAGGGACCAGTCAAGTTGGATCTCTGCCCCAAATGGCTCTAGACCCTCTAGGAAAGTAAGCCATGTGAATGGACACCATCACTCATTCCACGGCCAGAGAAGGAACTCTTAAGGCAGGCACTTGTGATAAGAGCACAAACCAGAAACTAGTTCTTCCAGAGGAGGAGGACTGGGAACACCTCGAGGAAAACATTTCTTGAAATGAGTTTTTAAAGATGAGGAAGGGCTTAGGTGAACAAGGGTGAGTTGTCTTCCAGGTAGAGGGGGTTGTGCAGGCAAAGACACTGAGGCTTGCCCAGGGACCTGGGAGCTACCACCTGCTCCATGTGGCTGAAGCCAAGGGTGTGGAGGTAGCGGCGGTATGGGCTGCTGGCAGCGGGCAGGGAGTCAGGGCTGCATTCTCCACTCCCTGGTGCCAGGTTGGAGTGTACTTTCAGTGGCATGAGGAAGTCAAGGGTGCATGGATTTTCTTCCCCCCATATTTTATGAGAGGGAGAGAATTCTTTTGCTCTCTGGTTCTCTTTCCTCCTGAAATACCTGCAACAGCTATCGCTGAACCAGGCAGAAGCTGGAAGCTAAGAAATCTGGGTCTCCCAGATGAGTAGCAGGGAAGCAAGCACTGGAGCACTGCATCAGTGGAAAGTTCTATGGGAAGCAGAACAACAGGGTCTCGACACTGATGGGATCTGGGATGCAGAATCCCAAAGGTGTTTTTATCTGCTGTATCAACTGCACTGCCGAAGGGTGTATGTTAAGATGGGGAGATGCTGTCAGTTCTGTGTTTCAGCAAGGTCCCTGCGGGCAGCTGCAGGTGAATGGATTGAGCAGCTGGACAGAGCTCAATGTGTACCAGGGTTAGGGACTGCTGCTTAGATGGGCACGAACTAAGAGGGGCTGAATGGGGTCACCACCGTGGGAATGAGAGGATGAGGCAGACTGCAGTCCTTGTAAGGGGTTAATCGCAATAGTGCTGCTGTGTGACTGCATGTGCCAGAGAGGTGGGAAGAGGGCAGTGGATCCACTCCTAGCTTCCTGGTTCTGTGCCTGGTCACTGTAGTTCTATTGGCTAAAATCAGAAATGCCTCATCTGGGACAGGCTTTGGCTAAAAAGTGAGTTTGGCTTTGAGCATGCTGAGTGTTGGGTGCCTTTGGGACGTCTTGGTGGAAATGTCTAGCAACAAAATGGGCAAATGCTACTGTCACACTGTGGTCACATACTTACTGCAGGCCAGGGACCTCCAGCTACTTACTGGCCTGCATGGTATGACCTTGGCATACACTAGCTTGCTCATTCCTCATGATAACGCAGTGACAAGGTCTCTATCCCTGGGCCATTTTCCAGATAAGGTAGGTGAGGAACAAACGGCATGTCAGGTTTCAGCACCAAACAGCTCTTGGGTTGATCTTTAAGTCATGACACTGCCCTGCCCCCTGTCTGCAGACAGCGAGAAATAAGGAAGTGGTCCAGCCCCTCTGTGCCCCTGCTTGCCCCCACTCTGAGCTCCTCTCCTGCCAAGGTGGAAAGCCCTCAGGCCTTCCTTCTGTCTGGGATTCAGAGAAACCACACTCCCTGCATACCTCTCCAATCTTTGTGTACAACGTGCTCACAATCGAGATGATGTGGTGTGGGACGGGGCAATTCCGTAGCCTTTAAAGATGATGCATGTGTGAGTACATTTGGCACAAACAGCAAGGTACAAAGGTATTAGACAGCCTTACTGCTTGTCCAGGTCTCCACAGTAGGCTAGTAAGCCAGGCTGGCTGTGCCATGAGTCACAGCAACACAACCCAAGGCTGAGACCATGCTCTGTCTCTGGCAGTACGCTAAGCATGTCAACTGCTTCAACCTGTTTACATCCTGGAGCAACCCTGCATGTTGGTGCTACTCCCACTTTTAACAACAAAGGCAACTGAGTCACATAAGTGAATGACTCAACGTCACTGGAATAGGAGCTTAGCTGATCCAGGTAACAGAGGCAGAACTGAAACCCAAGTCTGGTACTGAGTCCAAGAGGTTGCCTATGAGATGCTGTGACAGAAACTGAGTGTCAACTTCCACCTTTGTCAAATCCCTTTGACAGCTGGAATTCTGTATCATTGTGGCTAATGCACTGCTCATTGGCACACCAACAGCAATCAAGAGCAGGAAGAGGAACAGAAGACACACTGTGCAGAACAGAATTCTG